TGTCCAATTGGCAGCAAGTACCCCAAGCTTGAGGCTGCAGGCTCTGACCGAAAGGCTTTCACCACAACAGGACCGTCAACAGCTTCAATGGCAGCGGCACCTCGCTTGTGCCCGGAGGCCAAGTCGATGGCTGCTCGGTTGCCGAGCAGGAAAGGACCTGTGGTGCAAGTCCGATGAAGCGGACGGGGTTGATATTCAACATGAGGAAGAACTTAAACATGGCCCCAGCAACATCCCCCAGCGCCTACGCTCTCCGCCGTGACGGTCACTTTCAAATACGCGGGGAGTTCAACCTCAGGCCCTGCAATCAAGTGGGAGAAGCCAGTCTCAGGGTTGACCTCATAAAAGACAGTGCCAAAAGGGAGCCCTGCATCACGAAAGCACGCGGCAATCATATTTGCATAACGACCCTCCCATCTATGCGACTCAATCTGGACACCAGAGGTGACGGCCAGAGCAACCTGGGCAATGAGAGCCTTCTGAGTCTCGTCTGCACCCAATGTGTCCGCGAGAACCATGATTGCTCGACTGACACAAGAGAAAGGGCCCAGCGTGGCTGCCTCTGCAGCAGCCTCGACTGAGAGGGGCTGATACCCACACCGAACTGGGGCTCCGGCAAGCCTCGGACAGGTGGTCACTCTGTCCCACGTAAGTGGAACGAGCCCGCATTGGCAGGCCCTTGAGCTACGGACACGACTGCAAGCGCTGCAAAGCGCTGAACGACAGGAAAAACGCATTTCTGGGCAAGGGGTTCCCGCCCCACTGCATCTGGGGGCGGCTTCATCCCTGCCCCTTAGGGCTAATAAACAAATCAGAAACGAACCAGGACATACGTGCGAAACTATCCCAGACAGCACAATTGATGCGCTATTCGAGATCTCTACCACTGTGAATGCCCCAGATCTCTAGTGCTAGATATGTGGAATAGTTATACATGAACATTTACCCCATGTATGATACTAATGTATACATTAACTACCAGAGGCCCTCAAAACCATGAAAAAACAAAGGTTTTCACATACAAAAACCATGTTTTTTGCTAGGGAAAACCAGGTTTTTGATGGTTTGTCGGGCCCCCGGTATTCCATACATAAATAGATGATCTGGGTGAGTATACACCATCATCTATTCTGGGCTCTCCCTAGAGTTGGCCTTTTACCTACTCCAAAGGGCGGACCTCATGGCTCTCTGCCCGACGAGCTCCCCGCTGCTGACCGGTCTCGCCGTCCGTCTCGCCGCGCCTTCCAGGCTGCGCCGCACGTGCGACTCATCCGTGAAGCTGCCCAGTACCTGTGCCCGACCCCCGGCGACGAACCCCAGTGGCGGTGACTGGAAGATGAAGCACACTGGGAGGTGAGACGGATGGATTTCGTGCCCAAACACGACGACCGGTCTGGGACTGGAAGATGTGCCACCCCAGACAGACCCCCACCCCAATGCACCATGAAAAACAAAGGTTTTCACATACAAAAACCATGTTTTTTGCTGGGGAAAACCAGGTTTTTGTATGGGCCATGTGGGGCCCCTAGATGTAGGGTTTCCAGTCCCATAAGCGACACTCCGTTCCATCTGGCTCCCGACGGGTCCATCTGGCTCCCGACCCAAACCTCCCAGGCGACGAGATTGGACATCCCAGGCGACGATGGGCGGCCTGATCCCTCAAGATCATCCGAAGACTCAACTTGGCTTTGAAGGAGCTGGGAAAACATTAACCCTAGGGCTCCAGTCGGACCTTCGTTTCGAAGGTGGGACTGGGGTGGGTTTAGAGGGTCCAGTCATACCTTCTAAGGAGGTACGACTGGAGCCTTAGGGTCCAACATAATTCTCCAGGTTTGGGCATGTTTCAGGTTTGAACATTTTTACCAACCCTCACGGCACTTCAGCCACTGAGTCGACCGCTCAGTCGACCGAGGGTTCCACCCGCACGAGGTGTTGAGCCGGCCGGAGGCCTTGGACTAAGGGCACGAGATAAAGAAGTATACGGGTCAACGAATTCGGTCTATTGTGCATGTTGGAACCGCTGGTCACCAAAGCCTATGTGTTTGATAAGCTGGATTGGACAAGGGTTTGAGGATTTGACAAGATCTTGGGACCCGGTTCCCAAACCTTTGCCATTGGTTTCTTAGGGACACCACAATTCACCGATTGAACACACCACGATTGGTCCTTCTTGTCTGGTTCGAACTACCCCGCCCGAGCGAGGAGTTCGTCTCATAAACTCAGAATCCACGAGGTGTTTCTTTGGGCCCCGGGAGGGGAAACTGTTTAAAACCACGCAGCGGTCTAAACCCTGGACCTCCATGAAATCTCTAAAGAGGAGGGGAACCTTTATCGCCTATCCCGCATGTACCACATATAAAGGTTGCAACTTCAGGTCTTTCAACATCTAATGAAATCCCTCATTCTCAGCGACACGTTCAGCAAACAAATCATCGCTGGGCACTTGTTTGCTGAGCTTCTCCAAACGCTCCATCGGCGCGGTTACCACGAGGAAATGAGGGACCAGTTTTGTACTGGACCCGGTGCAAAAGTTCTGGGGTATCATTTATTTTCTGGTAGTGTTTCTTGCAGAACAACACCATACTAAATGTTGTCTTTATAAAAGTGGACATAAGATATGGGACCATGTTCGTTGATGCACACTCTCCACACCTATCATGGTGTTTCCATAGTTCCATATACCTGACCTCCATCGAATGGCATACGAATGGCCTTCCATCTCATGCGCATGATCCTTTAACAGCCGATGCTTTGAACTCCGGCCTTGCCACGGCCGCTGGACCGCCGGTGGCGCGGCAGCCCGCCGTGCTGCTGGACGGCCAGCGGCTGTGAAGGGCTGCCGGAGTGGTGACGGTCTGGCGATGTCGTACACTCCCTGGTGGAAGCATTTTCCACTACAAACAGGTGGTGTTCCACTTCCATGTTAGTTCCAGGGAGAGTATATAGATTAGATTTAGAAATTGGCAAAGGTTTGCCTTTGGTTGGTGTGACGGTGTCATCAGCCCAAATAGATGGGCCCTACTGTATTACTGACAAAACATGGCCTTGCAGGGGTCAGCTTTCCGCTTCTATTCTAAACACATGCCTTGAACGGGTTTTCAAGTCATCCCTCAGGTCACTTCAGCCACTGAAGTCTCCCCAAACACCAAAGGAGGTATGCAAGCTTGCACCGGTTTGTTCGTTGACATGCCCCCCCCAAGAGCGGAGCGGGACCAGTCCCTCCAGTCCACCGGTGATCCCCTTTCGCCCTCCACTTGAGAGAGGAGGGAGTGAACGATTTCGGTAGCAGGCAATCACAAGTAACCCTGGTAGAAGTCCATTTTCCGGCGTCAAAGGTGGATGGATGACGGACGGCAGCTGCAGCTTCGAATCACAAGACTGGACGGCCAAAAGACTGGTTTGCCATGTGAATCCACCCACAGGGTATGTCCTTGATCCAGTTGTCCTTGAACAGCTGGATGTAGATCAAGAAAAATATATTCCATATCTGGAATATGCGTATACATACCAGAACCCTCCAAGGGGTGGTGAATGGACACCCCTTAACAGCTAAGGGGCTATAAATAGACACCCCGACAGGAGGGTCCTGATAAAGATCAGGTGCCATCCAACGCCCCGACCAACACACATCCGAGAACACATCGACCAACAGGTACTGACAGGTCCTGACAGGTCATATTTCTGATATGTTTAAAGGATCCATTGCCTTTCTTGGGAATCCCATTCCCCGTAACAGTGCATCATGCCGATTAGTAAAGGCCTTTCTCAAACATAGTGATATGTTTGACTGTTTGAGGATGTTACAGGTCATGGGACACACAGGAGAGAAAGCACCAACCAATATGTGTTGAGCACCAAGTTACGGCAAGCACCGGAATTGAACACTGCGTCGAATGGGTGACACCTTCCGCTAGAAAATGCCAAACATCACATATACCTTTAAGATAAACTAAAACGCTCAAGGAATATGCTGTGAGGGTCATGAGTTTGATTTACTGGTGGGCTCATCCGAAGATTAAACAAGTATTATTCAAAACGAGGTTGGAACAAAAGGCCATCGATGACGCATCTTCTCTTTTCCAACTTATGTCACAAAAATCACAATAGAACATGGGTAGATCTTGCTATATAAGCCTTTCTTTCAGGCCATCTCAACATTCCGGCTTGTAGAAAAAGCACACACACAACACTCCAAAGACTATCTTCTAGAGGTCTCAAGGCTATCTATTTCCCAGTAACAATGCATGCAGAAATTAATGGATGCGTGCCAAGTTCATCGCTGAACAAATAGGCCTCGGTCTAATCTAGACCAATGATGAATCACCCTCAAGCCTGGTGAAGGGGAGAGTCTACATTGTGCATACCCTACCAGGGGCCCTCAAAACCTAAAAAAAACAAGGTTTTCACATACAAAAGCCAGGTTTTTTGCTAGGGAAACCCCGGTTTTGGATGGGCCATGTGGGGCCCCTGGTAGGGCTCCAGTCGTCCACTAAACCCACCCGGTCGTCCCACCTTTGGTACCACGGTGTCGCCCAGTCGACACCAAGGGTTGGGCGTCCACTGGAGCTCGTTCCCCAGAGTCCGTTGGTCGACGAAAGCGAGGAAAGCGACGAAAGCGTAGACCCCTGGTGGACTCTCTTAGGAAGGAGGTGATCAAGGTCATTTCTCGCATTCCCTACGAGTCGCACCAGTCAATGGAGCAGAAACTCTTCATGCCTTACAGCTTCGGCCCGAAAACCCCGAAGGCCTCCTGCGCACCCGTGGGATTCTTGGCCAACCGTTTTTGTGATGGTCTTTTACCAAAGACCCAAGCTGTCTTACATTGTTTTACGGATGAAACACATACTTTTACACTCCCAAACCAGGTGCCCTGACCATCTTTTCAACACATTCTCGCTCGTGCCCTGCACCGTTCGAGCTCGCTCGCTCGGTGCTGTGCACCGGGGGAGACGAAGCACGACCTGCCCCAACGGTGCCGGTCCCTTCTGGGCTCTCCCAACGAAGCGCTCCTCCCACTGGACGGTGGGCACCTACCGACCACGAGACCGAGAGACCGAAACGTCCGAACCAGAGACCTGGAGTCTCCACCAGGGGCCCCACCAAACGAAACAAAAACAAGGTTTTCACATACAAAAGCCATGCTTTTTGCTAGGTACAACCAGGTTTTTGATGGGCCGTGTGGGGCCCCTGGCAGTATGTATCTTTAGAACATGGGACATGACCTAAACAAAAAACAGGTACGAGACTACCCATTTTCCGAGGTACGAACTGAGACACCAGTTAGGGTTTTCAGGGGTCGTCCTCATCAATCTCTTGACTTTGTGGAATCCAACAAGCTGTGAATGGTGCATCTGGGTGTATAGTAGTTCTACAGTAGTTGTGAAGAGAACCTCAAATCCCACATGGGGTTGAACAACCAATGGACAATTTGGGTATGCATCACTGGACAATGTGTCATTTTCTATAAAACTGTTTGGTTTTGTAGGTACCGTCCAATGTGTTGATTCTTGCACACGTATGAAAAGCATACAGGAAGGATCCTTCAAAAATTACACTCAATCTATGCCAACGTCTAAGGCTACCGGGAACAGTGGTAAAGCTCTGCAACTGGCACTTTTGACTGCTTAGCAGTTGTGCCCCAAGAAAAGTTCATGCCACAAGGATCCACAAGGCACCAAACACATTTGAGCGCAACGCAACACTAGCCGGTTTTACAAAACGTGTCAAGGCTAAAAAAACAAACAAACTTTGGCTGATACCAAAGATTACCAAAGTCACACAAACGGGTCCAAGCCCCCGCACATTGCCTTCTGAACAAGCAAATAAAACATGGCCCGGATAAAACTATATATATATACACCTATACCCAGACATACCCAAACGCTCCATGTATGGCATATTTACCTACATTGTGGGATTCATATATATATATACTTATATATATACACATCACCAACTGAAACTGATGCATTGTTCACACGTGTCGTCTTGGGCCTCCACTTCCCGTTGCAAGACCTTCTTCACCGGCCTTATCGCAACAGCGACATGGTGAGTCGAGAGCGACGAGGCATGTGGGTGTTTTTCTTGTCCGCAGCTTTCTGCTGGTGGTTGCAAGAATACTCAGTGGCTTTTAGTGTTTTGCTTTTTGTATGGTGGACGGCCGGCAACACCTTCGACTATTTTAGACAAAGAAAGGACTTGGTTTCCTTGGCTTCAAGTTGGAGCAGAGACACACACATTTTCTTTCAACATCTTTCAACAAATCTTGGGGGGGTCCATTTTTTAATGGGGCAGCCTTTTGAATCCTTTTGAACTATAGGTGTCATAGAGCTGTTGAACTTGATACTGATACTACCCTTGCAACATGTGGTATGTAGAAGATATTGTTTGCTACAATCAAGACCCGAAACGCATGAAACGCAGCCTTCGGTCAACGCAGCCACGTCAAAGAATGTCAGATGCGACATTGTTGAAGGGCTCCAATCAGACGTCGAGCTCTTCCAAGAGTTTGCAAAAGGTCTGAATGACGGTCTGACTCCTTCAGTTTTCCGACGGAAAGGTTCACGGAAGTTCCCTCCGTTTGGTCCCTCCTTCAGCCTGTTCTTGTTTAGTGGGGAAACCACGAAACCCAAAAGGTTTTCAGGTGACCCACTGACTGGATATGCTGTGAAACACAGCCAGGCCAAAGCAGTTGATGCTTGCTCCAAGACGGATGAGTTCCGACATTGCAACAAAGCCACCCTAAGGATCTGAACGGACCCGACCTCTTCGCAGGGCTCGAACCCTCTTTTTCACAGAGAAATCACTTCGCCCCGAACCAAACCCTTGCTTTTGAGGGTCCGGATTCTTAGGGCAATGCAACAACAAGTCTACTTGAAGTTGATGACTCTGATGTGTCAAATATTGTGTTACTGTAAGAACCCACTGGACGCTGAAAACAAAAACATAAGCCAAACATAGCCCACAGCTCCGTCCTGTTCAACTAGCGTACCAAGCTCAATCTAAAAGAAGGACTTCTGAGAAGCTAGACAAATTCATTCAAACTCAGCTGTTCGTCAACATGTTGACCGGCCGTGACGCGGCCTGTCTGGGACTGGCATATACAAACATTGGAGTGGTTCAAAAGGGGTCAATGTATGTGAATATGCCATACCAAGTGCAAGAGAAAATTGGACATGACCCTATCGATACCTATTCCCTATCTCAGACTATCCATGTACCTGGAGTCTCAGTTCGTACCTCTGAAAATGGGTACAAGATGGTACAAGTACCATCAAGTACCTTTGTTATTACAGGGTCATCGATGCGTCATCTCCCATACTTTGGAGACTCCAGCTCAAACCTATGGAGACCTACTGGGAGACATCCCAGGCGTTCCGACCCCTTACCAGTCACCCAGCCAGGCCATGGCATCTTTGATCGTCCCTAGTTTAATGCGCGCACACGCACACATGCATTGCATATATATATATATATATGTCGTATCACAAGTCCCGACAGTTTATGTTGGACCAGGATTAATTAATGGTGGGAATGCAAAATGAGGAAGAATTGATGGGGAAGGCCAGTAGCAATCGCCTGTGGTGCACCGATCCGGATAGACTCTGTTTCTTGTAGTGTCATGCCTTGTACCACCGCTGTCATGTTTTGTTTGCATTTCTAGACCATTCATTCACTGACTCACTCACTCGCTCACTCACTCAATCAATCAAGCAATCAAATTCAATCAGTAAATCAAATTTCAATCAATATATCAATCAACTATCAACGAACAATGCACATATTGCGAGAAACATGCAAGTTGCCACAATACACCTTTACTACTAGAGTTACCGTACCACTGGGAAGCCAACCAAGCAGCGCTCTCGTTGACAGCTTATTTTGCTCCACTGTCGGGGATGTAACGCACACGCACACACACACACACACATGGCGTTACTTCGTTGAGTGGTCCCCTCTACTGTCGGCACCCCCAAAAAGCCAACCCTGGCTGGAGTCAGCTGGAGATGGAGATACGTCGGACGTGTGTTCTCCGGATCTGGGCCATCCAAACACCGCCTCTTGCACAATCTTTGGGACCTGCAGCTTCGAAGCGTTTGGGCTACAGTTGCAGAGTTGGTCATGGCCCCGGGGTACATGGAATGCTCGACCGAAAAAACAAACAGAACCCATCCCATCAATGGGCCGAATAGGCCACGCATTTTCACAGGTCGCCGCACGTCTGTCCATTCCACGTCTGTCCGGCCCTCTGCAGATCGATCTATTCCTCGAAGCAGGTTCTGTGGCTGAAGAAGGTGAACGGAGATGGTTTCGGGAGTCGGCCTGTGAACGGAGCAGGTTACAAGTCAGGAACTGGCCTCATGAAATACTGGAGATGGTCATACAAAACCAATACTTAATTATGGAGGTTTAAAAAAACACAGGTTTTACGGGGTCAAACTGGACTTGTAGGGATCTGGCACCGTTTCCACTTCAGCCAAACGTGGTTCGACTTCACATCCCTTCACCGATGGGAATGCTGGAATGCTTCGATTTTCAGGGTTGACAAGATCTTAGGGGTCTTGAGTCCCGATTCCCAAACCTGTGCCATTGGTTTCCGTCGGGGATTCACAGGGCTGGACTGTTCCTGTTTGGTGTTCTTCCAGCCTGGACGATCTTCTCCTGCAGGATGGGCTTCCTGCGCAGCGACGGACCAACACCGTCGCTGCTCAGCATGGCGGGAGGGGAGATCCTCACAGTGGGTGAAGTCTTGGATTCGTGCGGGGCGAACAAGCCGTGCGATGGGCATAAGAGGCCAACACATTTGGGTTCCTTTTGTTGCACCTACTCGTGTGTCGTGTGAACATGTGTGAACAATACCAAGGTTTGAAAGGTTTCAGTTGGTATGTTGCTTTCGACTCTCTTGATTCGACATAACCTTTTGAGAACTACAACTACAACTGGCTCCTCTTCTCCCCACTGGCTCCGTGCGTTTCCAACGGTGTGGAGAGAGGATGCGGCTCATCTCCGGCGTCTCATCTCGCCAGCTGGGTGCGAACTCTTCTCTTGCCGATCCTTTCTCGGTGCTTCTCCCGTTGGGGCGCCAGTCACACTCTCGGTTCCGGTTCAAACGACCTGCATCTGGGACTGGCGCATGTTCATACCGAAGGGGTGAAGAGGTGTTGTTCGGGGTGAAGGGGGTCCATCGACTCCCTCGTCGTGGTTGTGGAGACATGAACCGTTCACCGAGACATGGAGCTAGCTGTTCTTGTGAAACGATGGGGTGTCCCCAATTCCAGAAGAGTGACCTGCAGGTGAATGTATCGTAATGTAGACTCTTGACCAGTAAACAATATGAAGAGGCTTTTCCATCTAAATGGGAGGAGTTCTTAATGAATCAAGCGTCTACATTACTTCCTGGGTAGGATAGACAACAATATGCCAGTCCCATTAGTCGTGTCTTGAGCCTGGAGTCTCAGGTTGTGTTCCGCAAGGTTCTTTTATCCTCAGAACTGATTTGTAACGGCCCACGGTCCCACAAAGGTCTCCAAATTCCTCAACCCCAAAATAGAGGGCATTAAAGGTGAGTTCCACTAAAATGCATAAACCCTTGTACTAAGTACTATATCTTTCTGTCTTCATCACCCACACTGCATGAAGTCAACTGCAAGCGCCAGACCGCGCAGTGCCCGACGCCTGCGCTTCACCAGCTTCTGGAGGGTCTTGGGCCGCTCGGTCTCAACCACCTCAGGCTGTTCGGTCTCGAGTCGCAATGACCCAAACTCCATGGGACTGCCATACAGTTGTCTACATTGACCATGTCTGCTATTAGATTGTTAACCAGGTCTGCTATTGTTAGTCCTAACCAGGTCTGCTATTAGTGCTATTAGTCCACCATGTTCGGACTAGGACATGATTGTGCAATGCTGCTAATGGATCCTACATTGACCCCTTTTCAACCACCCCAAAGCAGGTATACCGTATACCTGACCCTATATAAAGGGGGTGCGACGTCGTATATACCAGACTCCAGGTGGCCATAGCGTTTGCTCATGGCCTTCATGGGCCTCCATCAGCGAACCCGCGAACCCTGTGAACCCGCGTCCGCCGGAACTTGGCCAAACCACTGCAGACTGCCCCAGGGACGGCAACAACAACAACAACTACTACTACTACTACTACTACTACAACTACATCCCCACACATCTCAGTTCCTTTTCTGGCAAAAACAACTCTTTCACGGGTCCGCTTCACGCCGCCGCCTGCACATGCTGCTTCTTCACGGTGTCCACCCAGTTCCTCTGGATCATCGGAACCTGGCGGTGAAAAGCACACCCCCGGGGTAGAGGTATTTTAAATCGAATAACCACCCGAATGGGGTGGTGGAATATACATATCTACCGCAGCTCCAAAAAAAAGCACTCTGAGGAAGTTCCAGGTATATATATATAATATATATATATATATGTTATAAGTTATGTTAAATGATCAATTATCACTGCATGGCAGGGGACAGGACCTTCACCGATCGAAGCGGAAAGCGGAAAGCACGGGAACCCCAAAGCGATCTCCGAGGGATTCGCAGGGTGGGAATCTAAGACTGTTTTAAACATATGGTCCTAGGGATCCCCTGGACCTTCTTTCGGGGTGTCGGAGGCCCCTTAGTGGTGGGCTGGGGCTTCCAGCCAGGTGACCCCTTTGAAGTTGCTGGTAGGTCCTTGCCCTAGGGATCCAGTCATACCGAATCTCAGGTTCGGTACGACTGGACCCTCCTGGCACCTACATAGCAATGTCTCCAATCACCTTCTAAGGAGGTACTTGGAGCCCTAGGTGACCTGAAAAGGAACTTCCTCTACTTGAGCCTGGAAGAAATAGAGCCTTTGGACGTGTAGGCATGGAGGACTCCCTGTTGGAAAAACATCCGAAAACACAAAGCAAAACAACATATATGTTCATAAGCACAAACTTGATGATGAGTCAGTACATGTCAGTACATCAGCAATTTCATGTCATTTCAAACACTCTTTATAAAGGTCCCCTACTTTCAACCCAACTACCAGTCCTACATGATCAAAAGTCTTCATCATTCGCCCTTCAAAAAACACGTTCACCCTCCTGGATGATCTTCTCTTCGAGTTGCACCTGGCGCAAAGGAGACCGATCGGTTCGGCGCGAGGAGACCGATCGGTTCGTGCAGCTGGCGGAAAGGACCAAGAAATGGTTGAAAGGGACAGTCCATTTGGGAACTATTTACGGTTACTGTTCAACTCTCTTGGGAGTGGCCCACGCGACTGTGAGCGTTTCGTGACGAAAAAAGACATGGCCAGTGGCGGCCAGGGCCGCTTGCGAAGGTTAGGATATAGAAGATGCCGCTTCATATGGCTGTGGGTCATGACCAGCCAAACAGAATGGACGACCGACAGGTCACCCTGGTGACATCCGGGTTGATCCACCATATACACCAACACCTTCACGACTTCTCTCCCGCTGATTGAAGCTTCTTTGAAAGAATTCAATAGAAGCTTCTTCCAGCAGGACGGAATCCTTCCTGATTCAGACGTGGAGGTTCAAGCACCTTGCGGTCCAAGGAGGTTCAAGGATGTCCAAGGAGCCCTTTCTTGCCTCTGACCTCCTGATTCCTGTTAGTCAGTCCACACATGACCACACGCATGTCTGCATGTTATATTCTTAAAATGTGTTCATCACAAAGCCACATGAATCCAGTCTGCTCATGTCTGCTCCATTCCACCTGCACTTGTCCCACCGCCGCAAATCCGAGCTCGTCAGCGGATGAACGGCTGCTGGCCTTGGGCACTTCCACCAGTTTCTCCACGATTTGGGGCCGATGCACCTCGGCGACGGGCCAGATTGCAGACTGACAGATGAAGGGCCTATAGCGTCTCCCAAAACGCGCCTCCTCTTGCGGCAAATGCTGTGGCTGGGCCAAAGAAACAGGTGCTGCTCTTTGCTCTTGGGATTCTGTCGGAATCATCACTCCAAAGCTCCAGGACCTGCCGAATGACCTGCCCTTCTTTGCTCTTGGGATTCTGTCCGAATCATCACTCCAAAGCTCCAGGACCTGCCGAATGACCTGCCCTCCTGGCGAAAGAAGTACGGAGCTCATCTCTCGACCATCCGAAAAGGAGGTATACCTACACTCCATTGGGACTGCCATAGGACTGCCGCCCCATTGACCCCCCAAACCACCACCCCTGGCCGTTTCTCGGCAGTCCATGGCAGTCCGTCATGGCAGGTCGTGCCTGGGTATGGCTGTCTTCGTTGGGATCGATCTAGCATCTGGTCATCAGCTGTTGGGGTCGACTGATGCACTTGAGAGATCTGTCCATCCGGAAGAAGCCCTGGAACCCGACCTCAGGGCCTCCACAAAGTAGGCGAAAAACCCAGGCTTAACAGGGGTGGTTGATTTCAGGGGGTCTGTCTACGGTGGCATAAATAGATGTACAGTATACAAATCAGTGCCAAATAGGTCGTGTCTGGGATTGGCAACCCGGGCGAATTGAGTTAGAGTTTCTCTCATCATCGCTGGAGCACCTGGACTCGACAAGGTCTTCAAGAGTAGAAAAAGGGGACATGACCCGAACACCAAAAGAGGTACGAGATGGGAACACCATTTTCGCAGGTGGAAAATGAACCAATCCACAAGCATGACCAGCTTCAAGTTTGTATGTTTGGGATTATACCATATTATCTTCTATCTATTCCGGGATGACTATAAACTATATCTCGAGCGACATGTGAACATGAAAATGAACAGTGAAACAAATTTGGACAATAAAATTACGCTGAACACTGAGGAATGTAACAACAGTTGGCCATTAAAACACTAAGGAACTTTGTGCCCATGCAGCTGAGCAAACTCACTGGCACGATCTGCTCGACCATGCGAAAATTCACGTCTTCCTGGCGAAATGCAGATTTCGACGGCCTCATCGGCGAGACGTCATGGCAAAGAGTCGGGTCGTGCCGTTTTGAAGGTGGGACTGGGGGTGGGTGCCGTCCAGTCATACCTTCTGAGCTACGACTGGATATGGATCAACTGAGTGGACCATTTGACGTCTCTGGCGACCAAGGAATATCTTGAGGGGTCTGTCAGGGGAAAAAAACATGACTCAGGTCTTCCACTCTGAACCCACCGCGGCTCGCTGACCCAAGCCGATGCCCATGGGGGACTTGTCTATGTGAGTTTCACGATTGGTCTTCAAATCGGCAGAGTTGTTAGACACGATTCCTGATGCTGCCCATCATATTTTACACCAACAACAGTTTACTGTAACTGTTCAAATCTGAAAGCATTTCCGGATTGCAAACAAACAAATCCTGAACCCAATCTGAGAGAACCGGATCATGTCAGGAATGTATGTTACTGCAAGATTTGATTTGTTTATGTGCAAATAACATCAAATAACCGCCAACAAACACAAGTAACAAGGTATGTATATCATTTCATGTTGGAGTGTGATATGTACAACGTTGCAACTGCACTTCAGGACAAAAACATGTTGTAACAGTTTCACTCGAAAATGTCACTGAGTCACTGATATCATTTTGTCCCAATGCAATTGCCAATCTGATTTGAGATAACGGCACTCTTCAGGAGGAAAACCATTTGGTAACAATTTCAATGCATAAGTTTGGTTCTCTCGACGACTGTTAAAACTGACATGAGCCCCACTGCACAAAGGCACAAAAACTTCACATTGATTGTCCAAGTTGGTATATAACAGGGCACACCCCATAGAGTTGCTATGAGAAGGAAAAACAATTCAGAACCCACTGGTTGGGCATTTCAATGGTCTACTTTCATACACGAAAGTGTTTGCGAAACCCATGCACGGCAGCACAAGGTTTGACCCATTAATGTGGTTAAGTGGCTGAAATATCACAACATGTGCTGGTTTGGGAAAAAAACCGACATTGTTGAACACACGCTCAGTTTTGGCGTCCGTACGCCTGTGGCCTACTAGTTGTCCACCTGCACTGTTGCTTGAAATTGTTCCATCTGGCCGCCCTTATCATCCCCCAAAAAACAGGGCCGTCGTCATCCTCACGTTGATGTGCACAATTTCAGGGTTTTGACTCCTTCAATTTTCCCTTTACCTTTCTTATGATGTTAGCCTGCGCCTAGTTGTCCACATGTACTTTTGTATGGAACTGTTCCAACTGGCCGACCTTATCATCCTCAAAAAACATGGCCGTGGTCATCCGCACGTTGATGTGCACACTTTTTGAGTTTTGACTCCTTCAACTTCCCCTTTGCCTTTCTTATGATATTAGCCGCGTGCCTACAAACTATGTAGAATGTAAGTATTCCAGCTATCTTTATTTGTGCCAAGTACCCGGGCACCTCCAACAACGGATGTCCAGCCCCTGAAGCAGTAGATAGACCAAGCCTAAGAAATGCCCCAAAGGGCCCTATGCAAATGTGCAAGCACACCACTGGCATCCCGTGCTCACAAACACAAGCGCCGCAAGGATGCCTCGAGCCTCCAGCTGGTTCAAGTCTTGGCTTGATGCATACAGCCACACAGGCACCAAGCACTGATACGAGTCCAGAGTCGAGACCTGGGTACGGCATGGGTGCACGCTTGCATGCTTTCAAGGGACAACGAGATAGCCAAGCTGGCGCCAACCTGCTTGTCAAACACCAAAAATGTGACCAGCTCCTGCCATTCACCGGCAGAATCAAACTACAAAGGAACATCGTTTCATATTTGCGGATAGCGGCAAAAGGCACTGCCAGCAGTGCGCATCGGTGAAGATATAATTTATAGACATCGGTTCAGCACGTTTCAGGATGCCTCTTCAAGGCAACAGTGCAACAGCTCTTGCGGTCTCATTTGTGGAGCTCAAACAAAGAGCGGTCAATGGACTTGCACTATATATATATATATTATAGTCACTCAAAGCTTACATGAACTTATATACTGATCCCAGCCGAGACGCTTGGCCCACCACCGCAGCCTCTTTGCGCGTGCGTTCGCACCGCGTGCCGACGTCTCCCGGACCTGCTCTACCACGCAGGGCACTGGCACCTCCTGTCGCAGCTGGACTCTGTCACTTCAGCTCTGAAGCTTCAAACACCGTAAGGCAAAGACTTCTACACTCCCTTTTGAAGCGGAAGATCTGAGCAAGTCACTAAGTCCATGTTCCCTAGACTCGAGCGGAATATCTGCACAGCGCAAATCAGTTGTAAATTGTTCAGTATGGTTCAGTAGAAAGAATTTGAAAGAGGCGTTGAAGCCATGTCTGGTAGATTGCTTTCTTGTGACTTTGTCCTTTGGTGGGGATAGGTCATTCTTCACCTCGAACGTACCAGATCTTCTTCACCTTTGCGGTCTTCATCTTTTCACTTCAGCTGTGGTCGTCACCACGCCAAAACACACAAGAAAATTCATCGGTAGAAACTGGGAGAATTGCCGGATCAGGAGGTTGCGGATCAAACGCAAGATAAGCATAGAGACTGCCACAACAACACATGTGGTACAAAGTGATACCAAGTGTGATAGGAAATCGTTGGTGATATATTCTGTGCAAAGGTTCTTTTTGATCAAATAGTGTGACAAATATCGCACAAATGCATTCAACTGGAGGTTGGATGAGAGAGTGTGTGTGTGTCGACTGCTTCAATATCTGCCCCTGGGGTTATTCAATATCTGCCTGCTGTGTTTTTTCGGCCTCTCCAATTTTGTCGCAACGGGTCACAGTGGGCTGGTCTGAGTGGCTGCTGTCCCAACCGTGCAAGAAGCAAGAAGGGTGGGCATCCCTGAGGACCGATGAAAGTCGGCCTCCAAACAAAATCGCTATACCAGGGGTCACAAAATGGTGGTGTTTAGTCCCTAAGTGAGTGCATTGCCCCCCTAACCTCCTTGGATCGCACCCCATTGAAACTCCTGGTGGAAATTTTTTGCCGAGGTTCTCAGAATGAAGATGGATCCAAGCATGGCTTGAAAGAAGCGTTCTCAAAAAACTCCATGTAGGTCATATGTAGTGGTTTGGTCAATGTATAGGCAAATGTTGCATAAATGGAACGTATGGGTGTCAGTGTGCTCAATGTGTCTGGGTCACATTCAACGCTCACCAAGCAGTGCTACTGAGTGTTTCACATGAAGCACAAAGGGCAGTGTAGACAACTTACTAGACTTGCATGCCTCTGACATGCAGCTAGTATCCTCAGCCGCAAAAATCGTTATTAGTACCCTAGCCCTCAAGAAACAGATGTTGACCTGGTGTTCCAAAAACATAGGCACATGGTCTCCAACAATGGTTCCTTGGTCTCCAACCGGCGGACCTCTCGTGGGCACCTCGCGGACCCTAGTTCCACTGGGAGTTTCCAAAGGACCATTAAGCAGTTGTTGGAGTCAATCCCACCAAATCCAAACCCAGACACTCCATGGGATCACTTGGGGTGGTGCCAGGAGCCCCATGGAGTGTCTGGGAAATCCGGAATCTGTTGTATTGAATTGATTTCCATCGATCATGGACCCGCCCCAAGTCCTTTTGTCAAGATGAGTAGGATTTTTAGGCGAAGAATCGAACAATGGCGAGGATTTGTTGGAAAAGCATGAGGGGTTGGGGAACCCCGAAAAACATGTGATAATATATAGGATGCAAAACTTCCGTGTTACGGACATTCGTCAGCTCTAGCTCTAAAGTCAGCTCTAGTCCCAGTCAGCTCTAGTTCCAGTCAGCTCTCTAGCTCCAGGTAGCTCTAGATCTAGTCAGCTTTAGCTCAGTTAGCTCTAGCTTTAGATAGCTCTAACTCCAGTTAGCTCTAGCTCCAATCAGCTCTAGCTCCAGTTAGCTCTAGCTCCAGTCAGCTGTAGCTCTAGTTGCTCTAGCTCTAGTTAGCTCTTGCAATAGTTAGCTCTAGCTCCAGTGGGCTCTAGAACTAGTTGGCTCTAGCTCTAGTTAGCACTAGCTCTAGTTACCTTGTGTTTTTCCATACAAAGTGTGGCTCCGGACCTGGAAAGTCAAGCTCTGCGGAACGACGGTTTCCGGACGGTCTCGCGTCATGCTCGGATCATGCTCGAATCGTCCCTCCATTGTAACTAGAGTTTTCACCTGTTTCTGGTGTAAGTTCTGCTGATGCAATTCCATTGCGTTTTGCAACTCCTGGATGGTTTCCGCACTGTAAATGTGACTGCAAGTGTTGCTGGTGGATGAGTTGTCGCTGGAATTTCATTGTGTTTTGCAACTTCAGGATCGTTCCCGCAATGTAATTGGCACTTTCATGTCTGGTGCATGTCTTCCATGTGCATCTTTTGAGGAAGTCTCGCAGAATTGCTTCGTTAAGCTGGCGCGCAGATTGCCGTTGCTATGACGATAGGTGTGCTGCAGGCCCCGGTGGTTTGTATTGCTGGCAGAGAACCACCCCCACCGCCTGTTGTTCCACCTCGTCCAGCCCCTGCTGGAGGTGCTGGGTGGACCGTTCCTTGGTCTTGCCGAGAGGCATCAGTCTGCGTGCGTCGCTGTGGACCGCACAGACAGCCGGGCAATGCTCCTATGTGCGTCGTGATGGACCGCATTAACAGCTGCTACCGCACAGGACTCTTTGCACTGTGTGGAAAGAGTATGTAGCAGAAAAAAAGGATGTGGAAAATGGTTCATGGGTTGCGGTGTGGAGGTCGCAGCGTGTTCAGGTCTTCGGAAGGGTCATGGGGAGTCGGAACGATCGTCCGTGGTCCTCCGTGGTCCTCCGTCGTCCTTCTACTGAAACACCACCATTATCATCATCATCATCATCACCGTCCTCGCCATCATCAACATCATCATTACCATCCTCATCACAATCAGCATCATTTGAGCCGTCATCACCATTGTCATCATCATCATCATCATCATCAACACCATGGGCACCAGCATTGTCATCATCATGATCATCATCGTCATCGTCATCGCAATCACCAGCATGACCTTGCTCACCATCATGAACATCATGACCATCATAGGTGTAGTCATCACAATCACTAGCATCATCATCATCACCATCGTCCCCGCCGTCATCACCATGCCCAGAAGTGCATCTTTCTGAGCGACCAGGCTGCATGTGACAGGGGTGCGGGAGCGATGATTGGATGACTGTTTGGTCGCAGACCGCAGGGCGTGTGAGAAGGGACACTCCGGATGCAGAGCTATAGGTCAAATTGTTCTTATAGGAAACTTCCGCCGGCTTGCCCGGGAACTGCATTATATATTTATATATTATTGTAAACTATTGTAATACTGTATTATACAAAAAAATATTAGATCCAAAGAACATCAAGGCTTATAGATGTTAATACACATTGTTAATTGTTTATAGATGTTTATAGGAAGGGGTTGGGGGAACTCCCGTGGTCACTCCAAATGGCTCCCTACTTCATGGGGAAAAACTGGAAATCCTAGCCTTCAGTTCAACCCTTTGAAAACAATCGGTTTCAACCTGGCCTTTGTAGTGTCAAATTCTTAGTCAAACAGCTCGGTTCTTGGGTAAACAAAACATGTTTTCAAACGGTTAAATGATAAATGCATTCCCAAACACCCCATGGACTAGTATTATATACCACCCCATTGATCCCTACATTGACACCACCCCAATGTATGAATTAATATGCCGGACCCAGATGGCGGCGCCTCGTGTCTGGGATTGGGTGGATTCCAACCCCCTCTCTCCGCCGCCTCTCCGCGTTAGCTCGTCTCCACCGAGTGGTGGTCCCCACCTCTTCCACCAGCTGCGGCGCGGGGATTTCGATGATCTGTTGCACCGGGCGGTGGACCAGGCGCTCCTGGTCAGCGCATGGTCAGCTGTGTGGGACCGAGCGATTCGGTCTAACGCTTTCATGCCCCTTTTGTGCCCTCGGGTCGTTGTCAGGTCGCTTGGACGTCCAGCTCGCTCAAGTTCCGTGTGCCAGGTGCCCCAAAATGCCACCGCCCGGGTGGACAAACATGACCAAACGCCGAACGGTGCCAGATGTCAAAAGAAATCACTACGTGAAACCTATCTATAGAAGTTCTTTCATTTACACAATGAACCGTATGGCCAGGAAACACACCATGGATGGAGGTATGTTCAATGTTCAATCATGCTGAATAAGAGCCATGTGTGTTATAGTTCACAACATGTTGCATCTTGTCAATCCCTGGCTGCATCCAGTCCCTGGATGGGGTAGGAAACATGGCACCCCATGTTTTCTTTGAACAAACCTATCGAGAGGACCCTCGATCAAAGTCACTCCTTTAAAACACACGTTGAAAAACAAACAGCCTGCATCAGGAAAACATCTCTCTCTTCCAAACTCTTCCACATCACGCACTGGAAGGAATCAAATGCACTAAGTTTCAAGTGTGTATATGACTGTACGACTGACTGTATGTCATGTATTATATTATATACACACGCATATAAATTCAATATCATATATAATCAACACTTTCGATATGGGCCTCTCCGAGTGTGCACAACTGAGATCGCAAACAAGGGGGCTAGAGCTTGATTAACATGTCCGGATCTATACAGAAAATCAACCCATATGGGTCACACAGTTCGATGAAAATCCCACAGAAATCACCCACCAGCCGAGCCGCCACTAAACCGCCCCACCACGACAGCCTTCTGAATGAGGACCGGAGTGACCAACAACTCCTCTTGCACTTGGTGCACAGGGACATCTACCACCTCCACGGTGGCACGGTTCGTGTGCGGGCCCACCGCTCATTCCGAGCAGACATATGCAACGACTCATACGCACATGCAGCTGAAGCCGAAGGTGCAAAACATGCATAGGTTGGAGAGAAACTCTGCCTGCCAACATGAATGAATGTGAGATGCTTTAGAGTGTCCATGAGACGAGTGGGTACCCTTCCGGTCTTGAGGTTGGACAAATGGATCATGGTCTTGAGGCATGGCAAGGACCACCAGCAGAAAACACCGTGCCCCCGTGATCTCAAATCACGAGAAACTGGGTAATCTCAAAGACCTTGGATGAACAATCTGAAGAAACCTTGGAGAAACTACACTGATCCACCTTCAACTACCAGCTTCTTCAGTTGGTGACCTTATGGAAGTCCTCCCATGCCCCTTCTACAGGTCGACCACCTCGGTGACCCGGTCACTTTAGAAGAATCAGGCAAATCATGTCCATGATGTAAGGAGGCTTAGCAGTTGCACAGCTTAGCAGTTCAAGACTGAGAGGACAACTACGTTGCACACAGCTGCTTCAAGTGCCAAATGCTGCTTCAAGTGACTAGTTTGGTCAAGGGATTGGAACCTTCATTGACGGAACCGGGAAAATACCAAAAACAAAACATCTATTGCCCCATGCCAGGGATTGACCCAGTTCGGGAAATTAAACATCCCCTTTTTCCCGCAAAAGCAGGATTTTTCCCTAGTCTTTGCGGGGAACTAGGAGCAAGGACGCTACTAGTAGCGTAGCTCCTGGCCATACTACTAGGAGCAATGTTCGCTACTAGGAGCAAAGGGCATCGCTACGAACGGAGCAAGGACGCTACGCGACAAAAACCGCCAGCCATTGACGACCGTGGCAGGGCCATGCGCGGCCGCGCGCCTGCTCCACTTCCACCTGCTTCTTTCGAGTCTTCTGGACAATCTGAGCAGGTTGAGACTGCGAAGGAGGTGAAGGAGGTGAATATATTATAATATATATGTTTGTTGGAGCTGCAAAAACTTATCCTATTACCAGGTTTCAGTATGATTGTTAGTGAAGGCCTTTCTCTAAAAAAGTAATTGTTTACTGACAGTTGTGGGCAAAAGGACAAACCCAACCCATACCCTTCTCAAGTCAAAGCCACTGGAACTTCATCAAGGGCCAACACGTTGCCCTTGAAACAGTCCAGAAAAACTCCAATCCCGAAGGATCCGAGTTCGGACCTTCTCCCTCTTCGTAGGTCGGGTCGAACCTGCTCGAACAGGGGTTTGGGCCCCGAACCCTTGTTTTTGAGGGTCCTAATATGTCCTAATCCTTACGATCTTTTTTCGAGTCCGTAGGTGGTCAAGGTACCATCCTACCATCTCCAATCGCACCTTCTCAGAAGGTACGTGGTTACGTGGACCAGTGTCTCCAATCACCTTCTCCAAGCTTGTGTGGATCCCTAGGCATCCTGCCAGTCACTTCGAAATACACCAGACGAGACGAGTCCAACCAACTGGTCGACAAAAACATATTCCTGGCAAGAGACCCCAAAGTCTAAGGTCTAGAGGTGCAGAAACAGAAGGTCTAGAGGTCTAGACGCATTGGGATTCAAAGAGACATAAAAGTGGTGATAATGATGGTATTGAGGGTGATCACCGTGGTGACGGGGGTGGCGGCGGTGGGGATGGTGGTGGGGATAGGTGGTGGTGGTGATGAAGGTGATGGTGGTGGTGATGGTGGAGTGGTGGCGCTGGTGGTGATGCTGGTGGTGATGATGTTGGAGGTGGCGGTGGTGACGGTGGTGACGGTGGTCATGGTGGTGGCGGTGATGGGGTTGTTGATGGCAGTGGTGGTGGTGATGGTCTCAGAATCAAGCACACACTTAGACAGGTAAGCACCTTGTGGGATAGCCAGGGTACAGTGGAGTCGTAGGTTTCTGTCTAAGCCGCCTTCCATCAGTCACAGCATCAACACGTCGCACACCCATCTTCTGTTCCCCGCCGCCGATCCTGCGGTGGGAGAGCTCGCAGAAGCGTGTTCCGTGCTTCTCTGCCATCTTTTTGTCGTCTCCCTGCGCGGTGCTCGCGGCTGTGGGTGGTGGTCCCTCTGGCAAACTCAGAGGGGCGCTGCCCGCCCTCCGTTGGCGGTTTGGCCGCTGCGGGTTTCCCAGCGGGGGCCTCCGGCTGTGGTTGGACGAAATCCATGCCCTAACTCTGACGACGAAGTTCACGGACATCCCTAAACACGGTTCTGGGTCCTTCAAGAGGAAAGTCATCGAAGTCTACTTCTTCGTACTCTGGGAGTGCCTCGGCTAAGGTCCGGTACCTTTCTTCAGCAACATCGTGCTTCGATCCTCCTCCGATTCCGCGAACTCTGTCTCCACGGACTCACCTTCCACTTCCACAGCCTCTGTCACTGTGGCTTCCTTCAATTCCTTCGTGTCGGCTTCGCTTTGTGGTCGCCGCCACGGTGTCGTGAGCTGCTGCGGCCGCGCTCGTGGGACTTCTCCTTCTTCTCTCGTTTGTCCTTCTGCTCGCTCTTAGCTTAAGAGTTCAGAAGGACCACAACTGCACTCCGAAAGGGGGCGACAAACCAAGGATTTGAGCTGCTCGAGGGTTCAAGAGGACCCACCCTTCGTGACACGCCAAGGGTCTGAGCAAAGTTGTTCCAGAGTTCAACAGGACTCACCTTCCTCCCAAGTTTTGAAAAAACGTGGTGAGGGTGGTGGGGGTGATGCTGGTGTGGTGGTGGAGATGGAGATGGAGATGGAGATGGAGATGGAGGTGGTGGGTGGTGGGTGGGGGGGGGTGGGTGGTGGGTGGTGGGTGGTGGGTGGTGGGTGGTGGTTGGTGGTTGGTGGTTGGTGGTTGGTGGTTGGTGGAGGTTGTTGTGGTGATGGTTTTGGTGGTGATGATGGTGGTGGTGATGGAGGTTCACAAACCAGGTGCAGGCCTAGAGCTGTCTAGAGATGTAGCGTTGCGTGGAAGCCTGGAGACCACACACGCTCCTGATGAAAAGGATTGCAAGCAGCCGGAGCAGCAGCTTGCCGCTGCCCTTCAGAGTCAAAGCCTTGGGACTCAATGTGAAATGATTTGTATGAAGATGCTGCTCAAAGGGGGGCATCCGGAGTGCACACATCGTCAACACCTTTACCGGCAGCAAAGAAAGATGACACACCTGCAGCTGCACCTGCAAACATGACCAGTCGAGATTCCGAGCAACCTCAGAGCAAATCATTTGATTGGCAGCGTTCAACATGCAGAAAGGACTGGAAGCAAAGCACTGGGTCCAGATCCAGCCCGTTTCCAAGGCTACTGTATGCATCATGAAGGAATGCACGGCTGTCTTGATGAAGTGCAGATTCCGTGGCAGGAGCAGGACACTGTAAACCTTGAAGTGCAGTTTTCGTACCAGCTGCAGCGCTTTGTGGACTATAGAGGTGCAAATTTCGGCGCAGGCGAAACAGTTTTTGTGGTCCTTCAGTGAAGCGTGAGGCACAGCACGAACCAACAGTTTGTTGTCCTTGAAGTGTGAGGCATGGCACTTTGTGAACCTTGAAGTTCAGGTTCAGATTTCTTGGTATAGGTGCACCAAATTGCGCTGACTCGAGGCTTGAGTCAGAGCAAATACTGGAGGCTTGAGTCAGAGCAAATGCTACCTGCTTGCACATCCTTCGCAGTGTGACAGAGAAGGTTGGGCAGCAGCAGAGGAAAACGGTAATGCTGAACCTCTGAAGCAGTGAGATCTCAGTTGAGAAAGTAGTTCAATATGAAGCGCCTTTTCATGTTTGCCTTTCGTCTGGAAGGATTCACACCATCCACAGGTAGGAATAGGCCCCACAGCTCGTTCCGTTAGATAGAGATCATCATGTGCTTTCTGGGTGGAGCGCAATGATAAATAGTATTAAAATCACCGAGGTCTACAAAGCGCTGCGCCTGCCAAGGCGACTTGTAGCAAGAGCATTTCCAAAGACAATATCAAGATGAGACTTCCTCCGATTGTTGAAAACGCTGGGACGTTGCAATTGACTATTGGGGCTGCTTGGGGGGTTCACAGTTTGCTTCAGGACATCTACTTCACTCACTTGGTGAGGAGGTGGCATCTCCAAAGTGACGCACCGGCCACAAAATCTGCACATCGACATAAAGCCGCTCTGACCTCCTGCAGCACCTGTCACAAAAAGTCGCCTTTGGACCGCCAAATAACATGCGGTTTCCTTTCCGCCTCACACGAAAAGTGATCACCAAGCACGAGAATGTGCATGGCACCACTACCACGAGAGCGCAGTCGAAATGCACTTCAAAGATCTCGAGGTTAATGAATGTCTAAGCAGCGAATTAGCTGTACATAGCTGCACACAAATGGCACCTCGATCAAACACCCGTCCTTACCCCTTAAAGTAAGAACCCCTGTCACCACACTGTTTGAGGAATTCAACCCAAAACGTTCGGGCTCCGGGATTTTGGTTCCCGGATTGGTGTTTCCGGTTCCCGCGGTGTTTTTTCTTCCCGCGTTGGTGTTTTCGGTTCCCGCGGTGTTTTTGGTTCCCAAGTGGGTTTTTGGTTCCCGCGCGGCGGTGTTTTCGGTGGCCGGCTCGGTTTTTTTAGTGCCCGCGGGTGTTTTCAGTTCCTGTGATGGTGTTTTCGGTTCCCGCCTTGCGTTGAAGAGGGAAAAAATGCGCGGATGTTTTCGGTTCCCGCGTCCGGTGTTTTCGGTTCCCGTGTCGGGTGTGCTGTGATCCCGTGTGAAATGGTGGGAGTCTTGTGTTGTCGCGGGACAACGCGAAAGAATTCTTGTAAAGACACGAACAAACACGAACCACCAAAAGCCACAACCGCTACCACCACCACCACCACGAACAACAGCAACAACGACCACCACAACAACAACAACCACAACAACGACGACGACGACGACGACGACCAACAACGACGACCAACAACGATCAACAAACAACATGCGAAAACCGACGACAACAACAACAACACCACCACCAACAACAACGACAACAACAACAACAGAAACAACCGCGACAGCGACAGGAACTTGGCGGCAACGTTGCGTTAGTGTGGCTGAATGAAACTGGTGTCCAAGCAAATGGAAAAGAAGCAGCGCTTCAGCATGGTTGCCAAAGCAGGAAGTGGGCAAATCTTTTTGAACCCCAGCGTCACAACAGCTAAGTCCTGCCACACACGGACATGACGAGCCTCTTCGCGCACCGGCTCATCCTGACAAGGCAGAATGAGCAACGCAGGACAGGCGACACAGAAGGACAGGCGACAAAGAAGAACCACCGCAGCAGCAGCAGCACCACCAGCAGCAGCAACAGCAGCAGCCGCATCCAGCAACAGCAACAGCAACAGAAGCAACAGCAACAACAACAACAACAGAAACAACCGCGACAGCGACAGGAACAGCGGCCGCAAGAACAGCGGGAACAGCAACAGCCAGCACAGCAGTAAGCACGGACAAGAGCGAAACTACGTGCTGCAGAACCAAACAGTACTGCTGCAGCTGGGGGCCAAACGACAGCGAAGCAGAGGAATCCAACCTAGGCTCAGATTTAGCAGCGCAAAGCTAAGTAAGCAGAAGCAGCTGCAATTAAGCTACAGGCTGGTGTTTTCACTGTAAGGGCCCCAAGGGCACAGTGCTGGCGCAAATTAATGTCTTTGGCGGTCCAGCACCAGTTGGCCTGGTACAAGGTTACATGCCAAATTGTAACGGCATGGTAGGAGCGATACACTACTGTACATGATAGATAAGTTTGTACCACCTGCCTCGTCTTCTTCGCTGAGGTTCTCCCATCGCGTCATGGCCAAAAATGAAGCTCTGTATGCTTTCGTCTATGTGTTCGTACAGTGCGGTGTTCTTTGTCTGTTTTATTGTGTGACACGAGTACGTGCTTTCAAATCCAGCGGTGTAACGGCATGGTAGGAGCGATACACTACATGATAGATAACTTTGTGCCACCTGCCTCGTCTTCTTCGCTGAGGGTCTCCCAGCGCGTCATGGCCAAAAATGAAGCTCTGTATGCTTTCGTCTATGTGTTTGTACAGTGCGCGGTTATGATGGTGTCACCGGGTACCTTGTGTTTTTGCGGCAGTGGGTTTACGCAAACTGACGTGTTTTTACAGCGAATGGCTTTGATGGTTTTGCGAAAGTTTTGCGGTGTTCTTTGTCTGTTTAATTGTGTGACACGAGTACGTGCTTTCAAATCCAGCGGTGGGCAATGGTAGCCAGAAATTCAAACGAAAGCTGACAAAAAAAACACGTGAAAGGGCACACCAACACAGGAGCCGGGCAGGGAACACATTGTCCAGGACTGAAAACGCCCAAACCTGGGAACCAAAAACACCAACACAGGAGCTGGGCAAGGAAAGCACCAATCCAGGAACTGAAAACACCAAGATCTGGGAACCAGAAACACCACGGGAACCGAAAAAAACAATCTGGGAAAAGGAAACACCACGGGAAGGGAAAACACCAATCTGGGACTGAAAACACCCAACCCCCAAAAAACTCTGAGACTCCGGCAAGCCGGTCACCTCCAGTGACCCCGTCCGAGCCTTAGGGACTTTGACCACTTCTTCTTCGCCCAAAGGCACCGGCACCTGGCGCCGGCGTGGGGAATCGCTGCATATCGCTGCGGCCGTTGGTAGGGGTGCTTTTTTGGGGGGTTAGGCGGCGGCGGGTTCCAAAGAGCTTCGCACCTCAAAGCGCAGCACATCTATAAACTGCATCAAACACAACACATATCATTCATACAATCTTGCATTCTCCTTCCAGCATGGTTATTAGATGGAAAAAGCATGGCCAAACGGGGTCCATCAACCGCCATTTGAGTTGCTTCTGGTTCGAAGTACAGCATTGGTACTCTGAGGACAGCGTAATCGAACGATCGATCCTCCCATCATCATTGACGCCAACAGCGGCAATAGAATCCAAGGCTAGGGATGATCTCCCACCGAGTCCAATCACTGGGGCGAACCAAGCCCTCGCTCATGATCCCAATAGCTGAAGTGCTATGACAGTTGTGTTGAAGACCGAGGAGCCCTCACTCTAGGGATCCAAGTACCTTCTAAGAAGGTGTTTGGGGTGGGTTTAGAGGGTCCAAATACCTTCTGAGGAGGCATGACTGGAGCTCTGGGTAGTCAAATTGACCCTTCTCAACCACCCTGACTCGCGCCATGCGGCGGCACTCCGCCTCCACTGGGATGTGCACTGGCTGATGAATGATCCTGGAACTGACTGAGAAAAAGCCGACAAGGGGGCAGCTTTGGATGAAAGACCCTCAAAACTCGGATGATTTGGGCTGGGAATGGGACTGACCACAGGCTGCAATGGAATCAAAAAAACAAACCATCTCCTATGACCCACCTGCACAGTGGAAGTGGCTAAAGTGAACTGATATTATAACTAAAACATGAAAGCGAACTGGTGCATGGAGAAGGCATGCCCTGTTTTGTTTTGCAACATCTGACACCTGTTACTTCCAAGTGTTCTGGGACCTAGGTCGCAGCTGGCGAAGTCTGATTTGTTGATACGACATGTATCCTCCTCACCCACACTGTCCATCGGATGCAACCAGGGAGGCCACTAGGAGGCAACCACATGTTGTCTACAGCAACCCACTGTGGCAGCCAACAGCGTGGGTGAACACCTTGGAAATGACCTCTTCGGGTCGAGTCGAAGCCTCTGGTTCACTGGGGCAACTGAAGCCCCCCCCTGTGATTTCCTGTGGTTAACTTGCAGGTCCGCATCCGGCACCCCAAATGCGTCTAAGACCTTGTGAGGCCGTTTCCAAGGTGAACGAAGCTGGAGCTGGCAGGAGTAGTGAGACAAGAACCCCGGAACTCGTCAAGGCAGTCGTCCAATGCCTCCCCTATGGAATGGCCACTTGAATGCCCTTGAGAACACATCCAAAGCAAAGGCATTGACCTTGGTTCCCCAAATGTCATCAGAGTTTTAATCACTTATTGCAAAAACACGCATGATATCATCTACCATAATTAGTAATATTGATAGCAGAACACAGCGACTTCAAACACTTATTGGATGTCATGTCTATGATCGTGAACTACTACCCCCAAGGCCCCAAGGGGCATGACCCCCCTCGAATGGAGAGGACAAACTCATGGGTTTTGAGGTCCCCATACATCTTCCAGCGCCGGCCTTCCACCGAATTGACCATACTTCGTTGGGCGCTGCGAAGCGTACCAGAGGTGCTCCCGAATCGAAACCCTCCAAGGTGGTGAGAAACCCCTCCACCCCCGGTCCACCCCGCTCCACAAGGATTCAGGATTCGGGTCCAATCTCTCAAAAAAATCTCGAAACTCAAAACCAAGCGATTGGTGAGAAACCCCAGACCTGTTGCCTTTGAGCCAGGAGCACCCTGGGAGCCTCTCCTCTCTTGGACCACCTCCTTTCGCACGTGCACCACCTACACTTCAGCGACTTCGGTGAGGTGGACCGGTTTGCTCCGTGCTTGGCCATGAAAGTGGTTGTAGAACACCATATGTATCCCTTTGTCATATCCCTATTGGGCTCCAGTTGTACCTCCTCAGAAGGTATGACGGGTGCTATGGAGGGTCCGACCCCTGCCATCAAAGGCCCAGGGATTCTTAGTACCGACCCTCAAAAACCAGGGTTGTGAGGGTACATACCCCTGGTTTTGGAGGGGTCGAACCTTGCGAAGAGGTCGGGTCCGAGGATCCTCCATGATTTTTGTTGGAAGTCTGCCGATGTGAAGGTCCTAGAAATATAGTGCAAGATAGTGTAGGTGTATAACAAGCCGGCACCTTCCAAACAGGGGGATACCACCCCTTTTGATGCCCTCATGTCAGCCATTCACATCACACAAAAGCCATCAATCAATTCGGAACTGCCACGCGAAAAAAGCATCTGGGGCAAACTATGCCAAATACTTGCCTGATGATCGGCCTGATGTACCCAACAGTTTGATTGGCTGATGAATTGTTCCGACTGCCCCACATGTGGTGTGGTGCGGAACGAGTGGGTTGTTGGACACCGAGTTGATACACCCGGGAAGATTTAACATGGAACCGGGCGACCGGCATGGACCGGAAGCAGCGGTGTGGACGATGTTCCTCTACAAGCCGATGTGGTGAACTCAGGTTCCATGTGGGTCTTGGTGGCCCAGGGTGCGTCGTTGTGAAGGACGCCCGCTCCAACGAAGCTGAAAATTCCACCGACACATCAAATCGGAGTTCCAACATCTGATGTGAGGTTGGACGGTTGGACGGTTGCTGGGGTTGCAAAGGCATCTTTGTTCTGTAACATGTAAGATTCAAACATCAGTAAAGCCTTGCCCAGTCGATCCAGTCACCACTGCAATTTTTTCTCGGTGGTTCCTGATGGTTCCTAAAATACGAAGCTATGGGGACTTAGGAACATTGGTATCTTATCCAGCCCTAACGAAGAATACCATATTAGCTACCAGGGGCCCTCAAAACCATGAAAAACAAAGGTGTTCATAAAAAGCATGGATTTTTCCTAGGGAAAACCAGGTTTTTGGATGGGCCATGTGGGGCCCCTTTTTGCTGACACTTGCCTCTGCGGACCACACTGCCATGTGCCACGGTGCTCGGTGAGAAGAAGCCGTGAAGAGAAGAAGACTGGCCTCCTATGCCTTTGTGAGTATTGAGCACACATGTCACATGTAAGCATGTTTTTCTGCATGTTTCGTGTCGAAGACCAATGGTTCCTCACAAACTTTTGACATTTGATGAACTCAAAGCGAGGTGAAAAACTCTTCAAAACTACGCGTCGTCGTCGTTTGCGTTTCTTCTCAAGGCGTCGTGGGCGTCGTACCGTTTGATCTCTCTTCCCTTCCTCCATTCCCAGCCACGGCACCGGCCTCTTCTTTGATCTGTGGCACCGGCACGTCGACAATCCTCGGTGCTCCCTCCAGTTCCTTGGGATCCTTTTTTCGCCCCCCGGTAGAATGATAGAACATGGGATACTCATTTTCCGAGGTACTTTGAAACTCCAGGCACTGAAGTAGGTCATCTTAGGTCAGCTAGGCTGTACTTAGCTGAAGCATTATTTGTTCTGAAGGCACTGCATTTTCAAGATCTTCCATTAGATTTCCAAATGGCTTTGCTTCCTAGTTGTGATTGTCCCATCTGCCGAATCCTGGGAATACCCTCTCTAGTGAACCTATACGTACAGGTGTCTTTCCCAAACACCCTATGTAAGTACGGTATGTCTAAATCTACATGCGACAAAATTGACCTGCATTGGGTTGTTTTTAAGGGTCGATGGAGGCATACATGCGTGTACTGTATGTGAGGAACGTGCCAAACCTCTTATGTGTTGTAGTGCGCACTCTTCCCAACGTTATCGTTATCGTTGTTTTTCTGTGAACCTTATCGTTTTTAAGGCTTTGGACACACCTAAAAACATGCACTAAAACCTTATCGTTTTTTTGGTGAACCTTATCGTTCCTGAAGGTTTCCTTCACTTTACTTACTTAGTCTTCACTGTAGTGATGCTGCCTTTACCGGATGTTTTGGCAGTTGCTCATGTATGTATGAAGTGTATATATATATGATTATCATGATTATATTATGCTTCTATTCCATGCCTGAGTTATGGTGTTTTAAACACTTCCACAGGCTATGGAGCCCCGTTTTGTCCTTTTCGTTCGTAAGGCACCGTCCAAATCACCCAAGCCTTTGGTGGCGATGTGGGTGTGGACTTGGGTGGCTTGGGGTGTCAATGATTGGAAGTGGGTGTCAAACACAAACCCAGGAGTCTCTCAGACAGGTGTGGTGTGTTTCCTTATATACGTTCTCCCCGAAAGACTTTCCTGGAAGAATGTAAAAGACGTTGGACATCTCCCTATCAACATGATATACCCCCATGTTCAATCGGAATCTGAGTGAAATTCACCTTTTTCTCTCCTTAAGGCTGTGTTTGCAATGAACATCTCGCAGCACAGGGTCCTAGGTCAGTGCTGCTACGGGCAGTCGATGTCACAAACAGCCTACCACCCTACCATCTGCTCCGAATCTCCCACACAGGTTCCTGTCCCTGAACCTCTTGACAAGGGATATTCTTGCCATTTCTTGACGTTTATATGATATCAATGTGTTGCTTCACAAACTCAAGCCGTACAAAACAAATATGAAAACATGTGTTTTGATGCCTCTCCCCTCAACCAATGGAAAGTGGAACAGTGCAGTGCAGGCCAAAACGAGAAAAAACACGAATTCTCCCCGGCCTACAGGAGTTTGAGCCAAACGATTCTCTGAGCATGTCGGGTAGTAAGTATGAACCAAACGTGAGACGTGAGTCCCCCGGTCGATCAGTCTGAGATCGCTCAAGATCAATTAATGATCTGCCTACTTGGGGGGTTCCAGTCAGTGACGGGTTGAAGGACATTCAAGTAAGCGTCTCAGGTTTCAAGTGGCAGCCGGACCCCTGATCAACCACCCCAAATGATCAGTATACATATGCCAATCGATAGGTTATGCAGCATTTCTACGTAGCTATGACTAATTATGACCCCTTTTCAATCAACGACCATGACCCACCCCTGGCCTGCTTGCTAAGGCTATGCCAGTGCCATTTGGTCTGGCCCGGGCCCCATCCCCTAGTCCGAGCAGCTCCTCGACGGGCCAAACGCGCCGCTCGGTGCGGAGCACCTTGGGCACCAAGACCACCTGCCGGCTTCGTCGGGACGAGAAACGGCATGGAGGGAGAGTCCTCAATCCCAAACACGACTAATGGGACTGCCATATATGCCGCCATTGACCCCCCTGGCACCACCCCAATGTAGGCATATATGGCATACAAGGAGTGTTTGGGAATGTGATCTGGAATCCAAAGCCTTCTCCCGAATCCGAAGCCTTCTCCTTATGGGATCAATCCAGAAGGATCTCATGGACCAAATCGGTGGGATTTGTTTGAGGAGCTGAAAAGGGATCTTCAGGGGAAAAGTTCCGTGGAACCCCTTCCAACACAGGGGCTCTAGGAACCAGAAGGGCCAACAAACACCCTAGATTCGCGTCATAGTTTGTCCAATGCCAATGTGGTTTCCGAAACGGCGGATACGCTCCTGTCTTCCTGCCGCTGATCTCTTGCGGGAGCATTCTCTTCTTCACAGTCAGCCAGCCCGAGCCAGCCAGCCAGCCAGTCACTCACTCATTCAGTCACTCATTCAGTCAGTCACTCACTCGGATTGTGTTGGATGGCGGCGGCCATCCCCAGATGGCCTCCTCATGGATCATGGGCACGACGATCTCCAAGATCTGCTCCACAGGCCGCGTGAGAACCCGCTCCTCAAGGGACGAGACTCCAACGCTCGGACGCGGTCACGTGTATAGAAAACGAACTGGTCGGAGGTCAGGGGAAACATTTTTAATGTGCAGGATTGATGGGGGCAAGTGGGCTGAATAGTTCTCAGCCTCAGCAGTTTCCACCCTGAAGTTCGAAAGAACTTTCCGAATCCATCAGGATCTTGGGCCCGCTTTCAGGAATCAGCTCGATGTGTGAAGGGAAACGCTCATGCAGCTATGAGGTTCGGGACCAACCCTCTGACAGCCATGAACTTGCCACATTGTTGAAGCGGTCCTGGTGGGAGGAGTGCCATACCCAAAGGCTCATGTAAACGTTTCTTGGTAGGTTTGGAAGGTGCAGCTGTACTTTGTGAGAAGTATGTGGGTTTAAAGGTCATTGTAGCAGTTCAATGTCAACGAATGTCAAACTTACGTCAAAATGCTGGTGCCCCTGTCGCATCCACAATTCTTTGGAACTTACGGTAGGTGTAAAAACCCGAGTACGTGCGTTTTGGCCGTGCCGGCTCGCACAAAAGTTCTGTTCTGAGATCTCCAAATGCAATTTCTCTGCACAAGGTTGCGCGAAAAGCTGGCCGCGGGACGGTGCTTGACGCAGGTGCGGTCTCGTTTTGGACTTGGTGATCACTTTTCGTGTCAGGTGCAAGGGGCACCTCGTGTTTTGGTGGTTTAGTGACATGCGCGGGAAATCGGAGCAGTTTGATGTCGATGTGCAGACTTTGTGGCAGGCGCGGTATATGGCGGCGGTCTTCGGCATGCTCTGATTTCGTGGCAGGTGCAGGGAATCGTGACTTTTGGACACGTGGCTCGTTTTCAGAAGTCGTGGCATTTGCAGTACTTTGTGGACCTTGAAGTGTTCATACCTCTCAGCTCTTCTACCTTTTCATGCTTGTCAGCTGCTTTGCTGTGTGGAACTTATTCTTGCAAAACTTTGACCCGATATAACAAGGGAGTACGGAGTACTAACGAGCATATATATATATATACCCTGCAAGTCCGAAGTGCAAGTTAAACGAATACTTTTCAAAAAACAAGTAGTTTACGGGTACCTTTTCTTTGTCGGAACCCAAGCCCTTTTATCCACGCGAGTTCAACATCACCGCACTAATGGCACATAGAACCTGCAAAAATGCACCCAATTGTTTAATCATGCAAACAAAACAACTGTCAAATAACGTCAAACATGGCAAAATTTAAAAACCCTGGTCACGATTTCCTTACATTTTGCAAACATTAGGGGACTAAGGACCTGTTACGCTCCAGTTACGCTCCTGTTACGGTTTTGGAAGATCATTTGCAGTTTTAGAAGTCTCCTGGAGGGGGTTGTAACGAATTGTTATGCTCCTGTTACGCTACATAGTTGGCCAACAATTCAGGCCTCTTTGCTCTTAATGTCGAATAATCAGCCTCAAAACCAAGAAGAACACCTGGAATATCACTCAAAATCGCCTTTGATTCCCGTCCAAACCACCTGAAGAGATCATGAACACTATCTTTGGTTTTAACGGAACTTTAGTGGGACCAAGTAGAACAAGGCTCTAATAAAATAAATAGTGGTCAATGTCTCCAATTCTATATGAACAAGTTTAACGAGGTCATTGACTTAGAGGGATATATAAAGGAAATTTGAGGGAACTCAAAAGGAATAAAAGGATAACGTTCAAAAACATCAATAGGTAATCAATCAAAGCAAGCAGGAACGTTTAAACATTGATTTCACACAAAAGTGTAGAGAAAAGTGTAAACGTGATTGCGGGGGATGTCTCCGTTGAAGTTGTGTATTGTTTAAGATGCTCAATGTAATGGGCTGGACTAGAGTTTTGCAATAGTTTCATACAATTAAACAAAACAATGGCGAAAGAACTGAAAAAGGTAATCAAAAAAATCGAAACGATTTCAAAAGGAATCAACAAGAACCAAAAGGAGTTCAACAGGTATTCAATAAAAAAACAATTTTCAGAAGGAGCTTTAAACAAAAAATCACAAGCTAAAAGTAATGAGACAGGAAAAACATATTGCAGGGGATTGAACCTTTAAACATCATATCAGAGCAAAGTGCAAACAACATTGGAGAGGTTAATATCATTGCGTCATTGAACAGTGACACAAACGTAGACATTAATTAACCTAGAGGGTGTTAGTATTAAAGCAACAATGGCCAGAAAAACTTAAATAGAGATGTTTTCTTATCGAAGATTTTGAATGTATTGGGCCAACCCCTTTTAGGAATAGTTTTTTGGCGACAACTTGATAACCTATAACAAGGGAATTAAAATAGATTTCTTATAGAATTTAAAAAGAAACCGACAGGAAAAGAAATCAATAGGTAATCGAAAGAAACAATGAGTTTTTAAACGGGAAACCCATAAACATGAAAAGCGTGGACGCAATTTCAAGGTTTTTTGCTATTGACAAACGTTGCCAAAACTATTGTAGGGGTTGAGTTGAGTTATATGATTCAAGGTTTCTAGTCAGCTTATTACTGGGATAACCCAAACTGATCAAGAATATAGAAGAAATCAGATTCAACAGGAAATAACATGGAAATCAGTTGGACAAAAAAGAGTGCGCACAGAAACCATTAGAATTCAAACGGGTTGGTGCTAAAAACCTGCCGTTCTTAAACGTGCTAGAGACCTCCTCTGATTAGCAATCAAATTTGTACCAAAAAACAAAAACAAAACAGAAAAGATTGTTGGTGAAGCTTGTTTTTGGACTTTACATTTTTTGTTTCAACGCATAGCTTTGGCATGGGCAGGCCCACAGAAAACAGCTGTAGATAAATCACGCGGAGGCAGTCCAATTAATTGTTTGTTTGGTCGTTATATTTTCAGATTGTTTCGAAGGAATTTCATCCTTAAATGGGAGACATTGCCATTGCCTTCACATTGAAAATAGACTTGCTCAGTTCACAAATCCGAAAGCTGCTAGCAAGCTCGGCTTGATCACCCAGCATCGGCCGCGCGCGTGGTGGGCTCCATTGGGCGTGGCCTTCGCGGGTCAAGTTCTACAAATCCGCCCCGCGGTGTGCACCTCACTTTGTATTTCCAACTTCCCTGCAATCAAAAGTCAGGAAAACCAGCGTGCGACGATCACCGCTTCTTGCCATGAAGTTTGCGGAACCGGATCCTTTTCCCAGCTTTGAACGTCTCTGCCGCCGGAGCTTTCTTTCGTCCTCGTGCTTGAGGGTGCAAGTTTGCTGCATGGGATGTCATTGATTAGCGCCCAGTTCCATCATGCCCGGCAGATCATTTCAAGAGGACTTCAAGTTCATAGCCCGGGCAGTCCTTGCACCAATGCCACTCACCATGCTTGGAGACATCTGTGTCCTCCATGCTACCACCCGTAGCGAGTTCCCTATCGATCTTTGACGGTGACCAAGACCGGCGCGCCTACCTGGTATACAAAACAACATGAACAGCAAAAAACTCACCGCAAACCAAGTGTCTTTTGAGCGGACCTGGACGCCGCCTCGAATCCGCGAGCGCTGGCGCGTCGATTCGCCTGCCCGGTATTTTGCTAGGTCGGCGATCGAGACCTCCTTGCCGTCAATGCGCGCGCGGCCATTGCCCAAAAACTGCTCCTTCTTGCCACCCACCCACAGCACACCCCTCCAGTCTTCGCTTGGGATCTGAAGGGCTGCCTCCTCATGGCCAGGCGCCGCACGATTTTTGTATTGGACTTAAAGACTAAATTGACTAAATATGACTAAATATTAATGGTCCACAAGAGATGGCCCTGGTATACTGACTGGAATTCTAGGGCCTCAAAGAGGGAAAGGCTCTCCCACACACCACCACAGTTGTGGATTTTTAGAGGTCACAGTAGGCATGCCCGCCTGGAGAATGATCTGGCGGCTGCGTGCACTGCGCAACCCAAAACAGCTCTATCTCACGATGGACTTAGAGCTAGGTACCTGCTTGAGCAGGTACCGCCGCAACTCCGAGCGAAGCAGCTGTTGCTGCCACTCTTGCACCCCAACATCCAACAATGCACGCCCCATGACCATCGATTCAGTCTGTCCGATCAACCTATCACACCCATATTGCTTGCTTCTCGCCTTCGACTGCCGGCGGAAGTCCTGTCTTATTTGCTCGCGAGTACATTCGCCTGGCCACCATCCGTACATCTGAAGCCATTCCAACGCTTCTTTGCCACTCACGAGCTTCTAAAATAATCTACAAAGCTTCTTGTTACTCGAGCTGAAACGATTCCCAGTCAAACAATTCTCAAGAACGCTTCTCATCCATCAACATGTTTTGTCTTGCTAGTCCCATTCCCAGAACAACCATGCCCACAGGCTCTACTCTTTGCCGCCAAAGCTTTTTCTTAATCGTCAACTTCTACGCCGCTTTCGGCGACTTCTTCGTCCATCCTTGACAGGGCACCTCCGACATCCGGATGATTCGACTGGCTTCTAAACGCAAGCGCATTGAAGGTCGAGAGAGGCGAGGCTGGAAGGCTGGAAGGACGCGAGAGCGAAAGAAATGACGCGGCGACGATGCTATGGTATGTGAAAGAATGAATGAATGAATGAATGAAAGGAATGAATGGAAGGAATGAGTGGAAGGAATGAGTGGAAGGAATG